CCCCCCCCGACCCCCGCCCCCCCCTCCCCATCCAGCCCTGCTTCTGCTGGCTGGTCTCCCCTCCCAGCTGGCTGGTATTCCTTCGCTTCTCCCTGTCCAGCCCTGCTTCCGGCAGCTGATTCTCCCGTTCTCCTCCTGCCAGCTTCCCCCATGCAGCCCTGCTTCTGCTAGCTGCTTGGTCCCCGATCTCTGCTGGACAGCCCCGCTGCCCCCAACTCTACTTCCCAGTGGCCAATTTCCCCCACAGACACCCCTCCTCCCAGCCTGCCCCACTCCCCTCCTGGCAGCCATGCTGAGGCCCAGTATTTTTTTCCTGAGGCCCTATACCAGGCCGCAGCCCATAGTTTGGGAAACACTAATTTAGATAATGGCAGAGAGTTCACTTAAGTCTGCAAATGATACCAAGCTGGGAGGGGTTGTAAGTGCTTAGGAGAATAGGGTCAAAACGATCTGGACAAACTAGACAAATGGTCTGAGAAACAGGATGAAGTTTAATAAGGACAAATGCAAGTGCTTCACTTAGAAAGGAACAATCCATTTCTCACATACAGAATGGGAAGTGATGGTCTAGGAACGAGTACTGCTGAAAAGTTAAACTCGCGTCAACAGTGTGACACTGTTGCAAAAAAAGCAAACACAATTCTGGGATGCATTAACAGGAGTATTGTAAGCAAGACACACGAAGTCATTCTTCCGCTCTACTCTGTGCTGATTAGGCCTCAATTAGAGTTTTATATCCAGTTCTGGGTACCAGTATCCAGAGTTTTGTATCCAGTTCTGAGCATTTCAAGAAAGAGACGGTCCAGAGAAGAGTAACAAAAATGATCAAAAGTCTAGAAAACATGACCTATGAGAGAAGATTGAAAGAACTGGGCTTGTTTAGTTTAGAAAAGAGAAGACAGCAGGGACGATAGACGGTTTTCAATAATCTAAAAGGGCATTACAAGGAGGAGGGAAAAAAACTGTTCTCCTTGGCCTTTGGTGATAGGACAAGAAGCAATGGGCTTAAATTGCAGCAAGGGAGGTTTAGGTTGGACATTAGGAAAAACTGTCTAACTGTCAAGGTAGTTAAACACGAATAAATTTCTGAGGGGAGTTGTGGAATCTCTATCACTGGAGATATTTAAGAGCAGGTTGGACAGACATCTATCAGGGATGACCTACACAGTGCATGGTCCTTCCATGAGAGCAGGGGACTGGACTCGATGACCTCTCTAGGTCCCTTTCCAGTTCTAGGATTCTATGATCTTTAAAAAAGTCAAAACTTTCCTCTCCATCTTGAAAGCCAAATTTTGGTTCTGACCACTTCTTTAAACATCATGTCCTCTTATTTGGTCTTTGATATTAGATTTGCCTCCAAATACCACTGTCCAAAATCTTCTTGCCACATTCTTAACATATATTGCATTCCTGAGTTATTTCACAAGCTCCACACTTTGTTGCACAGCTAGCCAATCTAGAGCTCATTTTCAAGGCTCTAAGTAAGGACAGGAATGCACAGCTGCCTCCTTCTC